GGGGGTGGGTGGGAGCTGAGTGCTTTTATTATGTGAAGGGTGTCTCCTGAGTGTGTTTAATCCCCCTCCGTCTTAGTTTGAGGCTGGTATGAAGCAGAGTCTGAGCTCAGCCTAGCCTCAGTCCACTAAGAAGCAGCAGCTCATGCTTTACTTTGGGATGGCTAAGTGGTGCAGTGGATGGAGTGCTTGAACCTCGAATCAGGAAGACCTAAGTTCAAATCCAGTATCAGATGTTTCCTAGTTGTGTGATCCTGGACAAGTTACTTACCTTCTGTCAGTCTCAGTTTCCTCAATGGTAAAATGGGTATAATAATAGCACTTACCTCCTAGGTAAGTTGTTATGAGGATCATATGAGACAATATTTGTAGAATGCTATATAATGTTGTTGTCATTATTATTATTACTACCCTTCACATACTTTCTCTTGAAGGCTCAGCTCATAATACTGTTTCCTACGGAAAGCCTTTCCCATCCCCCCTAGTTCTTAGTACTGTTGCCTCCTTAAATTACCATGTGGATATTTATCTGTTTACAATTTTATGCCCCTAGATACCCCTCATGTGGAGGTGACTGGATAGCCTGATTGTGAGAGCTATGATGACATGTAATAAAAGAGCCTTGGAGAGACTTTGAGAATGAGCACATGCTGTAATTGGTTCCAGACTGGTCATCACTGGTTCTTTGATTGGCTGTGAAGGCATTCAAAAGGACACTAATAACCTCTGCCTCCCCCTTGGTGGGATCCCTCGGTGTCTGTCTGCTCTTGATTTTATGCCTTTGCTCATGGCATCCAGTGAGAGATAATGCTGTTAGTGAAGAGGCCATGAGTCCTCTCCCCCTGAGGTCAACATAAGGTCCCATGAAAACGGGCCTCTGTCTTTTGCCTTTCCATTTTCTATTTTATGTGAAGGATATTAATTTGGAGGTCCTGACTCTGTGAGTTTCAAAATATCAAGAGAATGAGTCCCTGGGAATCTGAGCACTGGGGCTTCCTAGCTTCCCAATGTCCCAGAATCCCAGCACACAGGAATTCAGAAGTTGGGTTTATGTAGCATTTTGCAGCCCAGCGATGATGTTTTACGAATACTTTATGGAGGACTCAACAGATAGCAATATTATAGTTGTATATGTACTTGGCAGGACCAAGTCTATTAAGAAACTGCTAAATCTGAGCCCATATTCTGCAGGTAGTATAGGAGACAGTGGCCTTCAAATTATTGTGGGGAAAGTGTTTATACTTTTGTTATTGCTATTTATTATATTGGTTATTGCTCTATTATTTATTATATTGTTTATTGTTCTATTATTTATTATATTGATTATTGTTCTATTATTTATTATATTGATTATTGTTCTATCTTCAAAGTAAACATCCCTTTTTAAAAGCTAATTGACATTAAGTGGTTAAATGGAACTGGCATTAGCCACTCCTTGGAAGCTAACAGTAAGAGGAGCAAAGTCAGTGGAGGCTTAAGCCAATTGCATTAGAGAAGAGATTTTCCACCCCTAGAGTACCCCTAGAACCTGGAAGGGGAGAGATAGGGGGCTGGCTCTGAGGTGGTGGGTCAGGGCATGCTCATCATAAAGCAAGTACTTTGAGGGAGGGGCTATCTTAAGCTGCATTTGTGTTCCTACAACCTAGAACATTGGCTCGCCCATAACATTTAGGGGCCTAACACATAGTAAACACTTAATGAATGCTTGTTGATTTGACTTGCTGAAAAGGAGGTTAATGAATATCTTTTTTGGATTAGATTTTATTGGTGATCAATTAACCTTTTCATGTTGATCTTTTGATGATAGACACATAATCCATTCCTGGACAGCATAGTATAGTGGAAAGATGGCTGATCCCGGAGTCAGCAGAAACCTGTATTAAAATCCCACCTTGGACAGTATGACCAGGAATAAGTCAACTTAGCTTGATTTTCCACATCTATATAATGGAGACAGTAATATCTGTATATCTAACAGGGTGGTTGTGGAACTTAAATGAGACAATATACTTTACAAATCTCAAAACACTACATGAATCTCTGTTATTTTTATTACTACTGTATCGAGTACCAGTGAAGGAGGACCTTCCAAGGCCTATGCTCCATAGGGTCTCAGGGTCATCTACAAGCCATTAGGAAGCATTCCAGTAGGAATTTAGTAGAGGCTATAGGGATCTTGGCCAGAATCTGAAAAAGTGCAGACTCTGGAAACAAAGGACCTGGGTTTAATCTTACCTCTAGCACTTAGTATCTGTGTGACCTTGGACAAGTGTCTTAACCTCTCTTGGCTTTAGCTTCTTCATCTATGAAATTAGGGGGTTAGACTAGATGGTATCTAGCATCCATTCCATTCCTATTTTTTTATTTTTTTGGAGACAATCGAGGTTAAATGACTTGCCCAGGTTCACACTGTTAGTAAGGTTCCAAAGACAGATTTGAACTCAAGTCATTCTGACTCCAGGGCTGGTGCTCTATCTACTACACCACCTAGCTACCCTTTATAGTCTTTTTTTTTTTAATCAATCAGGGTTAAGTGACTTGCCCAGGGTCACACAGGTAGTAAACATCTCTAAACCTGTGATCCTAAACATGGGAAATCCAGAGGTGATCCAGCTTCGGAGGAATGAGAAGGTAAGAAGATAAGTTTATATTCAACCTGTGAGATATTGGCAAGATATCACAGTGGAATAGCTCAGATCCCTGTGGTGATTAGGGGAAAGAGAACTAGAGACTTGGGGTCAAATACCAGATCTGGCACTAACTAGCCATGTGACCTTGGCCAAGTCCTTTCTTCTCTCCCATCCTCAGTTTGCTTATCTGTAAAGAGGAGGGATTGTATACTCTCAAAGATCCCCTTTAACTTTCTGTTGCAATGACTGTAGCAAAAACAAGCAATCAAATTTGAAATCAAAGTACGGGGTGTCACAAAAGAGAAGATTGTGTAGAGTAATGCCTGTACTGTAATGGAAGAGTCACCTCTTATATAAAGCCTGTGCATTTTCTCAGTAGTGAGGCTAGGAGCTATTAGGAGATGGTTCAAGGTATGTACTTCTGTGAAATAGCAAGTGTCACCCGACACTTTTTAAAAGGACAAATACAAGCATGTCAGAGACTCCAAAAAGGATTCCAACTGCTGGGCAAGGAACAGAAGAAGCTCATGGCTGAAGAGGAGAAATGGGAATAGCTTTCTTTGATGTCTAGCCTGCCTTCAGCTTGGGTCCTTGATTGGATTCAATAGAAAACTTTGGTCTTGCATCATCAATTTCTTCACCCACCACATGGAGAGTACATTTCAGGGCTATTCCAAGGCTTACTTGAGTACTGAGTGACTCTATAACCCTCCCAAAATAAAAAATGTTATAAACTCTTCAATGCTATAAATACAATCTTGCCTCTCTGGCTCAGCACCTCTGTGAGAGAAGAGGGAAAAAAATATGAGTTCTAAAATAGTCTTGAGGTCTGAAAATAACAAGGAAAAATATAGCTATATAGCTATATTTATATATCTATACACATATATGTGTATATATATGTGAAAATATATGTACATGCATCATATATGTATGTATATATATGAGAGAGAAAGTCCCAAAGTCTTAGTATAATTTAAAGTTTTAATAATTAAAACTTTGTTAAGACTATTGGAACACCATATGTATGTATGTGTGTGTATATATACATACATACATACATACATATACATATACACACACCCTTCTCCATATCAAATGGAAATGTTCTCAGTGTTAGCTTTTCCTCTAGGAGGCAGATCCATGGAAGTCTTTGTTGTGGATTTATTGTTAATGTATTAAACTAAGCCACAAAATTAAAAAAAAAATTGTATCCAATTTTAGCAAGCCCAAAGACACAGCCACATGGCAAAATTGGAGGTGATCCCCATCATTCATGATGTGCCTTCAAATAGAAAAGACCTAGCTCTCTGGATAAAAGAGTGAAGGGGGCTGGTTGTTTCAGATCTTTGACTTGAAAGTTCAATTCTTCCCCTCCCCCACTCAGGAGAGAGAAAACTGTGCTTTGATTATAGGGTACCTAGTTTGGTTTTGTATGTAACTCAGGTTGCCCATCGACTTCGACAAATCTCTCTCTCACTAGAGAACAGTACTACCAATTTTATAACCCCTCCTAAATCCCTCAAGAGAGTCAGTCAACAAACTACTATGTACTAAATTCTGCGTGGGGCCATCTTGGGCCTAGGAAAACAATGTTTCTAGCTATATAATCTCAGAATTTGAAGAGACTTTCTGAACATTATGGTATAACAGAAAGAACCCTAGATTTGGAGTCAGAAAACCGAGGTGTGAAATTTAACTTTGGGATGACCTGTATGACTTTGGTCAAGTCACTTAACCTCTCTTTGTCTCAATTTTCCCAAATGTCAAAGAGAAGGACTTTTTGAAAAATTAGATTAGTCCTCTTTCAGTTCTAAATCCATGATTCTATGGTATAAGAGGAATCACTACTATTACATACCTGACAACTAGTCTTTTAGCCTTCACTTAAAGGCCTACACCAACAAATCCCCGGATTTGTTCTGTGAAGTTTAGATTCAGGCAGAGGACCACACTAGAGGACCTAGAGGGCCACATGTGGCCTCAAGGCTGTAGGGTCCCCACCCCTGGCCTACACTGAGAGGAAACCTAGTACCTTTAAAGGTATCCCATTCTCCTTTTGGACAGGTGTGGTGATTGGGAAGCTTTTCTATATATCCAGCCTGAATTTGTCTTATTGTAACTTCTACTCACCATTACTAGTTCTGCACACCAGGGTTTAACAGAATAAGTCTAATATCTTTTCCATGGGAAGACCCTTAAGATCCTTGAAGTCAATTATTATATTCCCCCAAATCTTTTCCTCTGTAGGCTGAATACCCCCAGTTCCTTCAACTCATCCTCATTAACATGAACTCAAAACTCTTCACTATTCTCTTCACCCTTCTTTGTGCTTTCCTGTTTAATCTTCTTATCAAAATGACTCAAACTCACCTTTGGTCTCCTCCACTCAGGGTTTCGAATAGCTTTTTCATTCATGAGTATCTGCCCTATGGCACTGTCATTGGCCGGGAACATGGCATCTTCAAAAAGCCTGCCTCTCCTTAAACAGTGATTCCTCAAGGAGGTAAAGTCCTGGTTTTTGAATTGTACGATGCTCTCTGTGGTGTTGGAATATCTTGGCATCATCTGGTTATAGAACATGGCTTCTCCAAAGAATAACCCCTTTCTCTGGTAAGAAAGAAAGAATTCTGGTAAGAATAAGTCACCTATTCTTTCATGGTCACTTCTGGCTTATTCCATGTATATGAAAATGTTCATACAGCACTGTCCTCAACATGCAAAGAGGACATTGTTTACCCAGTCATCAAAGTGGGTCCTTTGGGGCATTGAGATACTTTTGCAAGATAATCCAAATCCCTGTATTCTTTTGCCCACAGATGCCACATTCTCTCAATTTGAGCTTCCTTCTTTTCTCTTCCTCTATTCTCTCAACCAAGGGAATACTAGCTTTGGATGAATGACTGGATTCAGAGTTTCCCACAGAGAAACAGAACTCTGACCCTAAAGGCAAGTGGCTCTCATCAGCTGAACTGACCAGTTTCAACAGAGAAACGTCCATTCAATCAGTCATGCTACAAACATTTATTAGGCACCTACTTTCGTCAAAGCATGATGCTAGACACCGTATAAACAATGATGAATAAGATATGGTTCCTACCTTCAGGGAAATTATGATTTAAGGTATGTGTATTGATCATTGTAATACAAAATATAAGAAGTGAATAAAAAGATTGTGAATAAAGTTCCTGAAGAGTTGGGGTGGGGGGAGGGGACAAATCACTTTGTTTTGAGAGCAATCAGGAAAGAATTCCTAGGGGAGACTGTAATTTGTGCTGCTTAGGTCTTAAAGGTTAGGTAAGATTTCAATAGATATACGGGGATAGGATAGGGAAGGAATATAGGTATGGAGAATGATATGAGCCAAGGCATGGAGGAAAGTAGTTCAGTTTTGGGAAGCGTAGACTACATTAGTCTGCAAAGGTAGGTTGTCTTGAAATTGTGGAGGACTTTGAAGGGAAGACTAAGGAATTTGGATTTTATCTGGTAAACAATGGAAAGGCATTAAAGAATTCTAAATGTGGTCAGAACTGTGATGTAGGAAAATTAATCTAATAGTGTTGAACAAGATTGGAGGAAAGAGATTCAGGAAGGCCAGTTAGGAGATGATTTCATTAGATAAATGACAGGCTGAACTAGGGTGATGGTCTTGGGAGTAGAAAGGAGGGAAAGGTGGCACAGATATTATAGAGGTCAACTCTACAGGAGTGTGCAGTGTATAGGAGAAAAGGAGGTCACAACATTCTTTAGCAGCTGCTACTTTCTGGTGTTATAGAGAGTAGAAAAGACAGAGACAAACCCTTCTGTCAGGAATACCAGTGAGAAAGGCAGAACAGAGGAGAGCTTTGCTCTGTTGTTCAGAAATGCATTCCATTTGTACCTATCCAGTTTCAGTTTTGCTATCTTTCTGTACCACACAGAGAGCTGTCAGAGAACATCCTAGCTCCTCATTCTCTTAGGATGGCTTCTGAAAGATTTCAGCAAACACACTTTAATCATGCAACAAGAGAAGCCAGTGCATGTTTTTCCCTTTGTCTTTTATTTTTACTTTCCCTGTTTGTGTAAGACAAAAAAAAAAAAAAAAAAGTGAAGAGTGTGTGACCAGGGCCTGTGGAAGACAAATATCAGAGATCATTGCCTCAAGGAAAGGCCTTAAAAAGAAGGTGTGCATACTATTCCATACTGAATTCTTAAAAGCCACTGTCGATTTGCAGCGGCTTTATTTATGTCCCAGGGCGTGGCATGGTGGTGTGGAAAGAGGGCTAGAGCTGGAGTCAAAAACATATAAGTTTAAATCCCATCTCTGATACTTTGTTGTCTTTGTGACCCTGTTTAAGTCACTTAACATTGCTGAACCCCAGTTTCTTCTCTATAAAATGGCGATAATGATATAGGCACTACTTTATAACCTTGTTAAAAGGCTCAGTAATTTATGGAAAGCAATTTGCAAACTTCTAAGTACTCAAAGGAGTATGGCCTAGATAGTGGCTATAGAGTTGTCCTTAGAACCAGACCAGTTCAAACCAGTTAAAACTCATCAAAACCAGTTTAGATCAGTTCAAACTGGTTCAGATGGAGTGACCTGTTTAAACTGGTTTAAACTAATTTAGACGCTGTGAACCAGTTTAGAGACAGGTTTAAACTGATGGTTTAGACTGGTCTGAACTGGTCTTGACTGGTTTAAACAGATTCTTATGGTTTAGATGGGTTTGAACTGGTTTAGACTTATTTGAACTGGTTTAAACCAGTCCTGACTGGTTTTGACTGGTTTGAATCTATTTTTACTGGTTTGAACTGGTCTTAACTGGTTATAGCTGATTTTTTTTATTGATAAATTTATTTATTTTTAGTTTTCAACATTTACTTCCACAAGATTTGAGTTCCATATTTTCACCTCATCTCGCCCCTCCACCCACCCCAAGATGGCATGCATTCTGAATACCCCTTGCCCTAGTCTGCCTTCCCTTTTGTCTCTCCCCCCCTTCTCTTATCCCCTTCTCCTTCTATTTTCCTGTAGGACAGGATAGATTTCTGTACCCCATTTCCTGTATTTCTTATTTCCCAGTTGCATGTGAAAACATTGTTTTTTAAACATGTGTTTTTAAAACTTTGGGTTCCAAATTTTCTCCCTTCGTCCCTCCCCACCCACCCTCATTGAAAACGCAAGCAACTCGATATAGGTTATACATGTGCAGTTATGCAAAACACTTCCATAGTAGACATGCTGTAAAAAACTAACTCTGTTTCCCTTAATCCTTTCCTGCCCCCCCATTTATTCTATTCTTTCTTTTGACCCTGTCCCTCCTCAGAAGCATTTGCTTCTGATTACCCCCTTTCCCAATCTGTCCTCCTCTCTATCATCCCCCTACTCTCTTGTCCCCTTCCCCCCATTTTCCTGTGGGGTAAGACAGATTTCCATACCCAATTGAATGTGTATGTTATTCCCTCCTTAAATCAAATCCTCTGAGAATAACTCATTCCCTCTCATCTTTCCCTGTTTCCCCTCTACTGTAAGAGCCTTTTCTTTTCTGTTTTTTTTGTGAGATAATTTACCCCATTCTACCTCTCCCTTTCTCCTTCTAATAGTATAATCCTCTCACCCCTTAATTTTATTCTCCAGATATGACTCCTTCATCTTCAACTCACCCTGTGCCCTCTATCTATCTATCTATCTATCTATCTATCTATCTATCTATCTATCTATCTATCT